ATTAGTCAATCTAACAAAAGAAAGTTAAAGGAGGGGCTACTTTTCACCAACATATAAAAGTATGAGTTTTGTTGTGAACTATATTTAGGTAGAAGTGTTGTAACAATATTTTAGGTCTATTAGAGGAACACGAGATGTATTTGATCTATTTTTTATTTTTACTTTTTTTATTTCTTAAAACAAAAATATAAAATAAATTGAAAAGACATAAAATGGAAGAATAGACTGATTGATTATTTCTTAAACCAAAGAATGCAACGCTTATCCCTATAAGGCTATAACCCCTTTTCCTTCTCTTTCTCTTTTGCTTCCAGTTAACAGTTACAGTTAAAGTTCCAATGGCAAACACTAGTGATGATAAGATTCATGTAGCCATGTTTCCATGGCTAGCCTTTGGTCATATGATGCCATGGCTAGAGCTTGCCAAACTAATGGCCGAAAAGGGTCACAAAATCTCCTTCATATCCACCCCTAGAAACATCGATCGCCTCCCAAGACCACCTCCAAATTTATCATCAACTCTACACTTTGTGAAGCTGCCGTTGCCCCACGTAGAGGGTCTCCCTCCAGATGCCGAGGCCACTATTGACCTGCCATCCAACAAGGTGCAGTATATCAAGAAAGCCCTTGACATGGTCCAAGAACCCTTTATTCAGGTTCTCAAGTCATTAGATCCAGATTGGATCTTCTACGATTTTGCTCAATATTGGACGGGGGCAATTGCTACTCAACTTGGCATTAAAAGTGCATTATTCTTGATATTTACTGCGGCAACGGTGGCTTTCGCTGGTCCGTCATCGCCCTTGATCGATGGCAGTGATTATCGCAAAAAACCGGAAGATTTCACGATACCGCCTAAGTGGATACCATTTAAGACAACAGTCGCCTTTAAGTACTATGACATCAAGAATACATTTGATTGTTTTGAGGATGGTGTTTCAGGTGTCAGAGACACAATTCGATGGGGTTTGTCCCTAAAATCATGTGATATTCTAGCTGTTCGGTCCTCCTTTGAGTTCGAACCAGAATGGCTCCAAGTTCTCGACACTATCCTCGACAAGCCGGTTTTCCCGGTTGGTCAGCTGCCCCCTGCCGAGAATGAACTAGAAGAGAAAAATTCAGAAACGTGGAGGACAATGAAGGAGTGGCTTGACAAGCAAGAAAAGAGTTCGGTAGTGTACGTAGCTTTTGGCAGCGAAGCAAAACCAAGTCAAGCCCAGCTAACTGAGTTAGCACTCGGGTTAGAGCTGTCAGGTTTGCCATTCTTCTGGGTTCTGAGGACTCGGCGTGGGATTGCCGATACCGAGTTGATCGAGTTACCACCAGGGTTTGAAGAGCGAACGAAAGGACGCGGGGTGGTTTGCACGAGTTGGGCTCCTCAACTCATGATTTTGGCTCATGAGTCAATTGGTGGGTTCTTGAATCACTCTGGGTGGAGCTCTGTGGTGGAGGGACTTATGTTTGAGAAAGCTCTCATACTTTTAACATTCTATTCAGATCAAGGGATAAATAATAGAGTTTTGGAGGAGAAGAAGATCGGGTATTCCATACCAAGAAACGAGTTGGATGGTTCTTTTACTAGAGACTCAGTGGCTGAGTCACTGCGGCTGGTGATGGTGAGTGAAGAAGGAAAGATGTATAGAGATAAGGCCAAGGAAATGAGTGAATGGTTTGGTGATAGAGACAGGCAGGACAAGTACGTGGACAGCATTTTGATGCACCTGAAAGGTCATCAACCTGTCAAGAAAGCTAATTGTTTAGCCAAGTGACTTGTATTTGAATTTCATTTCATTTCATAGAGAGAAATGATTGGTAGGGAGACAACGTGCTAGGTGAATCATTGTAGAAAAATAAATGTTTCCATCACTTGTAAAAATATATACTTTCTCTTTGTTTATTATAAACATTTCTCGTCAGTTGTCGAAACCTAAAAACAAAAGCTAAAGAAGTTCCACGCGAATTCGTGGGCTCGTCTTCTATGACTTACTAAGTACTGTTGGAACGTAGGCATTTTGCTGGGGATCAAGTGAAGGAAGACAGCTAAACATTTTTTATTCTTTTTAGTTAGGCAATAATACACGGAACTGCCTGTTTTGTTTGTTTTATTTATCCTCTTTGGTAACAACCCATGAGACCCGGACACCGAATACGATATAACAATTTATAATAAATTGAATTCATGAATATAGGAAGATATGATTAGACTAATTCTCTGGAATCAAAGGATTGTTTTATAATTTATTCATCTTTGAAGATAGATTATGCATTCTAAAAAAAAAAAAACACATCTTGCAAATTAGATTTTTTGTTTACTATTTTGTTATAGTTTTGGGTTTGGATTGCTACCGAAGGATTTGAGGGACGGATGACTAGTTAAATTATATTCAATATCTACACTTATTCAAAAAAAGAAAAAAAAAGACAATGATTTTGTGAAATATTTCTCTAGTTAACACAATTTAATCCAGATCATTTTTTTCCCTTCTTTTCTACTTTGTCAGAGAGCATAATCAAGTTAAGTGCCTATCAATCTAATTATGGTTGAAAATTATAACCAAAAAATTAAAAAAATTATAGTTGCTCTGAAAATAACCTTATTGTTTTTTAAACAAAAAGAATTCATCTTTGTCGTGATCATGTCATTGGCACCCATTGTTTTTTGTTTCCATTACCCCGGGATAGGGAATTGGAGACAAAATAAATGGTGTTTGGTAGAAATGACACGAGAAAATTCAACTCAACATGATGATGCGGAAGCATCCTTTTCTTATTTGCTCGAAAGTTTTCGCTTATGTAGTGGTCGAAATTTTCAATCTTATTTATTTATTTATTTATTTATTTAGATTATTTTTATTTATGTGGATTTGAACTGATTAACTATTCCTCATAATTTGTGAATTTTCTATTTAAATTAATAGATGACCCAATGTTTGGGTTAATTAATAAAAATGTTTCATCTCCTTGTCAACATTGTTGATGCTAGTGAGTATATGAAGTTGTAAAATAAAAGGATAAACACTATGTTATTTATATTTTTCTAAAAAATAAAATAAATTTGGTCATTTAAAAATAAAATTATCTTGATAATTATTACGTAGAGTTAAAACCACGATAGAGAAGAAGTAAGAAGCAGCGTAGCACTTTTAGGTTCTTGTGTGTAATATTTTCTCTCTCTTCTTTACGTTCTAATACTTTGTACATATATATACTTATTGCTGTAGTAGATAACCACAACTAAGGTAGAGGCGTGAGTTGTAGGAAGTGCAGCTGTGTTGGAGACCTTTGTAGAAGTAGAATCAGCAGAGACGTGTGAAGCTTGGGCCTGTCTTAACACCCCTCCCACAAACTGAATGGGGTCTCAGACCCACAGAGAGTTTGTCACGCAAAAAGCTGAAGTGAGTAGTGGATAATGACTTGGTAAGTATGTCAGCAATCTGATCCTGACTGGAGATGAACATAATTTGAAGTTTCCTCTTGGACACCATGTCCCTAACAAAATGAAAGTCAATTTCTATGTGCTTGGTCCTTGCATAAAATAGCGGATTTACTGCTAAATAATTAGCCCCAATATTGTTACACCAAATGAACGATTTTATGGGTAATATCTCCCCAAGCTTGCCAAGGAGGGAAGTTACCTAAATCATTTCAGTAGCTAAGTCAGCAACAACTTTATACTCTGCTTCAGTGGAGCTCTTAGCAACTGTCTTTTGTTTAGAAGACTTCCAAGATACTAAATTAGGACCAAGGTAGACAACATAACCACCTGTAGATTTCCTATTATCCAGTGAGCCAGCCCAATTCGAGTCTAAAAAACCAGTAAGAGTGCAAGACACTTGTTTGCGAAGATGAAGACTAAGAGATAATGTGTGCTTGAGATATCTGAGAATTCGTTTGGCAGCAATCCAGTGGTCGATTGTGGGAGCATGGATGAATTGGCACACTTTGTTGACAGCAAAAGTAGTGTCTGGTCGGGTAAGGGTTACATATTGCAGAGCCTCAACAACTTGTCTATACAATGTAATGTCTTCAAAGGCTTCAGTTGAATCTTTTGTCAACTTGAAGCTAGTAAGCATTGGGGTGGATACCGGTTTGCAATTGGTTATACCATGCTTGGCTAAGAGGTCCAGAATGTATTGCTACTATGATAGTAGAATGCCATTCTTGGTATGTATGACCTCAATGCCTAGAAAGAAATTCACAGGACCAAGATCTCTGGTGGTAAATTTCAAGTTCATAGTCTAAATAATACGCTGCAAGAAAGAAGGATCATTCCCTGTAATAATAATATCATCTACATAAACCAGTAAGAAGACCCTGTAACCAGGGAAATTGTAGATGAAGAGGGAGCTATCTGTTTTGGAACCCATAAACCCAAAATTAATAAAAAAAACTATGAGGCATGAGAACCAAGCTCTAGGGGACTATTTACGCCCGTAGAGTGATCTGTGCAAATGGTAGACATGGTGAGGATAATTTGCATCCACAAAGCCCGTTGGTTGTGTCACATACACTAATTCAGTCAAGGTTCCATTCAGAAATGCATTGTGAACATCTAATTGATAGATTGCCCAATCGAATGACACCGCAAGGGCTAAAACACACCTGATTGTTGTAGGTTTTACCACTGGGGTAAAAGTTTCCCCATAATCCACTCCCTTTTGTTGATTGTACATGTTTGTAACCAACCTAGCCTTGTGTCTTTCGATGCTTCCATCTGCTTGTTTTTTGATCTTGAAGACCCATTTATTGCTAATAATATTCATAGAAGGAGAGGGAGGAACCAAAGACCATGTACTTGTATGAAGGAGAGCTAAGATTTCAGCTGCCATAGCCTCACGCCATGACAAGTGTTGGCGTGCTTCAGAGTAGCAAGAGGGGGATTCAGGAACAACGGGTTGAGCAATGACAATGGAGATATTCGACTTACTGGACTTTGTCATTCCATAGGTTACCATGGGATGGGTTCGTGGTGGTTCAACTGGTACGGGTTGTGTTTTTGGTTAGTCTAAAGTGTAGTTGCTGAAGTCTAGAACAAGGTTTAATTCATTAGGTGAAGTTGGTGGAGATGTATTTTGGGAGGCAGCATGGCAGTTTGTATTTGGGGAAGAAGCAGAAGAGGGGGAAAAGGAGAGAGAGGCGGGTGTGTGGTTGTGAGGTGAGTGTGATAAGTGTTGGGTGAGTTCATTTGGAGGGGCAGTAGGTGTGTTTTTGGGACGGGCTGTGGTGTTATTTGGGGACACATGAGAAGGGATCAAGGACGATGTATAATGATGATGACCTGCACATGTAATAAACGGATGGTGAACTAGACAACTAGCCCACGGAGTGTAAGAAGGGGTAGTTTGGACTAAAGTAGGGGTGGAGCTGAGTTGTTCTGTAAATGAAAAAAATTGTTTCAATGAAACGGACATGACGAGCAATATAAATACGATTTGTTTTTCTATTAAGACATCGATATCCTAAGTGGGCGGGGTTATACCCAAGAAAGACACATGGGGTGGAGAAAAAATTCATTTTATGTTTTGTTATATGGACGTAAAAAGGGAAAGCAGAGACATCCAAAAATTTTCAGAAATGAGTAGTCTGGAGGTTTTTTGAAAATAATTTGAAACAGAGATTTATGCATGGTTACACTTAAGGGCAGATGATTTATGAGGAAAATAACAATTTCAAATGTATAGTGCCAAAAACGTTGAGGGACACCTGCTTCGCCTAGTAAGGTGAGGCTAGTTTCCACAATGTGGCGATGTCGTCTTTCAACTGTTCCATTTTGTTAATGTGTATGGGGGCACATGATGTGGTGAATAATGCCAATGGATTGAAAAAATTTATTTAAAATGCGAAATTCACCGCCCCAATCAGTTTGAACTTGTTTTATTTAACAGTTAAATTGACGTTCATCCATTTTTTGAAATTACAGAAAAGTGTCAAACACATTAGATTTTCTTTTTAAAGAAAAATACCAAATATATTTTGAATAGTGATAAATAAATATGACATAATATGTATGACCTTCAGTGGATAAAGTAGGTGAAGAACCCCATACATCGTTAAAAATTAAATCTAAAACTCCAGAACTAGTATTTTTGGAAGAGGGTAATGAAAGATGTTTTGCTTTCCTTAACGGACACGATAAACAAAAACTAGATAATTTTGATGTGGAAGACAAGGAATGTCTTTTCAAAACAGAATTCAATACTCTGTGATGGGGATGGCCCAACCTGGAATGTCAAACATTTACAAAGACAAAGGTAGAATAGACTTGAGGATTGTATTGAAAGGATGACGGAGTTAACTTGTATAGATCATCATCACTCTGGCCTGAAAGAATTGTTGTCCTGTGTTCCTGATCCTTTAGACAAAAAGTAGAAGGGTGAAACTCCCAAAACAAATTATTGTCATGGCTAATTTTTGAACAGATAGTAATGGTCTAGTTATTTTAGGAACATGTAAAACATTGAGAAGCTGTGAAATTTGAGTTGGTGTGTGGATATGACAAGTGCCAATATGCTGAATAGAAAGAAACTCACCATTGCCAACTTGGAGATGATCCGGTCCATGGTATAACTCATAGGTGCTGAAGCTTGACAAATCAGGTGTCACGTGGTGAGAAACACCAGTATCGGGGCACCAGAAAGGTGCAGAGCGAATTGAGGGTGATATAGCAGTGAAGTTTGCTGAAGGTGGAGCAGAGTTAAGATGTCTTTGAGGACAATGGACAGCGGTGTAAAGCCAAGAGGAGCAAATTTGGCATTTGGTACGATTGTCATGTTGGGACCAAGTGCCTTTGTGATTAGAGGATGCATTGTTTCCATACCTAGGAGTAAATCTCCCACGGTCGCGCCCTCGAAAGGAGCGACCTCTGCCAGGGTTGTAAGCTATAGGTCAGTCATATGTGGTGTTATTGGCTTTGTGGATAATGTTGGCAGTAGGTGGGGTGGGTAATAAACCCATGGTTGTGGTAGAGGAGTGATTAGAAAAGGTTTCACGATTCAGGAACTCATGGCTAACGAGAAAGCTGTGGAGGTCAGTGAAGGTGATGGGTTCAGCTCTAGTGGCAAGAGAAGTGATAATATCTTTAAAGTTTTCAGACAACCCTTTAAAGATATAGAGATTAAAGTCAATAGGAGAAAGAGGTCGGCCAGCTGTAGACAATTCATCATTGTATGTTTTTGCATGGTGTAAGAATTAGGAGACGGATTCATTGGGCTCCTGACGGAGTTTTTACAGAGCAAGGTTGAGAGACATGATTCGGGTGCTGGAGGGGGACGCAAGTGCTTTTTCTAGTACATACCATACTTTTTGGGAAGTTGTATAGTCAATGATCATAGGGAGGATATCAGGTGAGAGAGATGAGATGATTGTACTCACGAGGAGCTGATCTTGTTGGTTACAGTTAAGGTGGGGGATTTACTTGTGGGATATTTGTTTCGGCGTTAATAAGGTGGCTAGGGGGCATGGGTGAGAGCCATCAATGAAGCCATAGAGCCCTTGGCTAATGAGAAAGGGTTTCAGCTGGACACGCCATATAAGGAAATTGGTATGGGTTAATTTCAGGTATAAAAAGCGATGAGAGTTTTTTAAAGGAGTTAGCGAGATTGGGTGGGGAATTGGGTTTTTTGTTTGGTTTGCAGTAGTCGTGGTAGTGTTTGTTGGGGAGGATGTGTTGCTAGAGATAGTCGTCGTACTGTTACTGGTAAGGAAGGAGAGAAGATACTCTCGTGGCATGTGCAAAAGGCAAAAAGGCCAAGAGGAAACACAAACCGGGCAGTAGGGAGAAGAGATGGCAGTGATGCCTAAGAAGGCTCTGATACCAAGTTACAACCACGATAAAGAAAAAGTAAGAAGCAGTGCAGCACTTTTAGGTTCTTGTGTGTAATATTTTCTCTCTGTTCTTTACGTTCTAATACTTTGTACATATATATACTTATTGCTACAGTAGATAACCACAGTTAAGGCAGAGGCATGAGCTTGTACATATCATCTAGTAATTATCTTATCATACTACAGCTATACACGGAACTTAGGTAGAGACGCGAGCTTGTAGGAAGTGCAGCTACTGAAACTTAGGCAGAGGCGTGAGCTGTAGGAAGTGCAGCTGTGTTGGAGACCTTTGCAGAAGCAGAATCAGCAGAGATATGTGAAGCTTAGGCCTGTATTACCACGTAAGATGATTTTAAAAGATTGGTGATTATTTTTTATTATCTTTTATTTAATTATCACTATGTATTTCTCTTTTAATTTTTGATTTATGATACAATTAGATAATTTGAAAATTTAGAAATAATAATAACATATATTTTTAAGCAAAATAAAAAAATTTGTTCTTGTTTAAAATATGATCATTATTGTTATTGAAAAGAAAATTAATATATCGAAGTAAGGTTCTATTTAGTTAAATATTTAAGAATTTTAACTCATAAAGAATTTAAAATAATATTTGAACCAATTTTTTTTTTTAAATTACAAATTTAATCCTAAAAAATATGTATCCCCATGTATCCTAGACGTGTTCGTTGTATATTCTAATTGTGTCATTCATGTATCTAAAATTTAATTTTTATTTATTTATTTTATCGCGTCCTTATGTGTACGATACATGTTGGCCCATGTTCGACATTGGTTCTCTTAATTTGCTAAAAATGTAAGTCCTCCCATCACCATCCGCCACTAACTCTGTTTTTCCCCCCTGTTAATTGGAACATGTTTTATAGTAAGAAAATCTTTTTTTTTCTTTAAAAAAAAAAACCATAATCATTAATAAAAAAGAAAATCTGACAATAAATATAAAAATAAAATAAATCCAATTTTCCAGTTTCGTATTATTCTTTTTAGATAAAAAATCTCTTATGTATCCCAAGGAAATAAAATTTTCTCCTAAAACCTAACTAGAAGAGACTTAATTTTGCATGAAAGATATCTAACATTCTAACTGTTAAAGTTCATAGTAAGCTACCTTACTAATTACCAAGCATAGTAATCATCTTTGTACCGAAAAAGAAGAAGAAGAAGAAGAAATTATATAATATTTGCGGCCAACAAAAAAAGTAAAAATGTGAGTAAATTATAAATTACTCTCTTTGGTTCAAAAACTAATTGTTTAATTTTTTTAACAACTATTGATGGTGACTAATTTAATATTTTTCTATAAAATATCTTTTTTTCATCAATATTTACAAAAATTTTGCTTTTTTTATTTCTTAAAAAATGAAAATAATTGAAAAATACCAAAAATGACTAAATAATTAAGTCTTTTTAAAAAATAAGGACTAATCAACTCATTTATCAAAATAAAAGGGACTAATTTATAATTTACTGGTAAAAATATGCAAAAAAAAAAAAAAAAAATCCTCTCCTTTGGGTTAAAGTTCTAGGCTAGATTATCTGAACTAGCATCGGCCCTAGCCTTTTCCAGGCTTATTTGGGCCTATTCATTGCCTTGTTTATCTCTAACTACCCCCTTCGGCCCTTCGAAAAACTTCAGGTCGAAGCGGAAGAATCAAATTCTGATGAGTTCACATTTTTTTTTGGGAAAAAAACCCTAAAAAATCAATCCATTTCTATCGACCCGAAACAAAACCCTAAAAAAGAAAAATTTCTCTACGATCTCCACATTTAAACTTTCTACAATGGCAACAGCGGCAGAAACCGATCCTGGATTGAAGAAACTTGAGTACCTCTCCCTTGTGTCCAAGGTCTGTAGCGAACTCGAAACTCACTTAGGGTTTGGAGATAAAATCCTAGCTGAGTTCATCACCGAGTTAGGTCGGAGTTGCGAAACAGTAGATGATTTCGACGCGAAACTGAAGGAAAATGGAGCTGAAATGCCTGATTACTTTGTTCGGACATTGCTGAAGATTATTCATGCGATTTTGCCGCCGAAAGCTAAGAAGGATGCGAAGAAAGATAAGGAGAATGACGAGTCAGGTAAAGATTCTAAATTTAAAGCTCTTTCGATTCAAGATAGCAGAGACAGAGTGAAAGAAATTGATAGGGAACTGGAAATTGAAGCTAAAGAGAAAAGTAGAAGAGATAATGAAGACAGACATAGAGAAAGAGATAATCAAGACAGGCATAGAGAGAGAGATAGGAGAGACAGAGGTAGAGATAGAGATAGAGATAGGGATAGGGATAGGGAGAGGGATAGAGAGAGGAATAAGTATAGAGATAGGGGGAGAGATAGAGATAGGTATGAGAGAGATGATAGGCGGGAAGATGGAGAAAGAAGGAGAGATGGGTATGATAGAGAGGATGGTGGAGGTGAGAGGGAGAGAAGGAATGAGAGACACGGGTATGGTGGTGGTAATAGCAATGAGCCAGAATTGTATGGGGTTTATAAGGGGCGGGTGTCGAGGGTGATGGATACGGGTTGTTTTGTGCAGTTGAGTGATTTTAGGGGGAAGGAGGGTTTGGTTCATGTTTCGCAGATTGCAACTAGGAGAGTTGGGAATGCTAAGGATGTTGTAAAGAGGGATCAGGAAGTTTATGTTAAGGTGATTTCAGTTTCGGGCAACAAGTTGAGTCTTTCGATGAGGGATGTTGATCAGCATAGTGGGAAAGATTTGCTTCCTTTGAAGAAGAGGGATGAGGAGGAGGATGGTTTTAGGAGCAATGCTTTGGGGTCGTCTAAGGAGGGGCCAGTGACTAGGACGGGTTTATCGGGGATTAGAATTGTGGAGGATGAGGATACTGGTCCATCTCGGAGACCTTTGAAGAGAATGAGTTCACCAGAGAAGTGGGAAGCAAAACAGCTGATTGCTTCAGGGGTTTTGAGCGTGCAAGAGTACCCCATGTATGATGAGGAAATAGATGGGTTGCTTTATCAAGAAGAGGGAGTTGAGGAAGAGCTTGAGATTGAGATGAATGAGGACGAACCTGCATTTTTGCAAGGGCAGACTAGGTATTCTGTTGATATGTCACCAGTGAAGATTTTTAAGAATCCTGAAGGTTCATTGAGTCGAGCAGCTGCTCTTCAGTCTGCACTTATAAAGGAGAGGAGAGAAGTGAGGGAACAGCAGCAGAGAACTATGCTTGATTCAATACCAAAAGATCTTAATCGTCCTTGGGAAGACCCAATGCCTGAGTCAGGTGAGAGGCATCTTGCTCAGGAGCTGCGTGGTGTTGGCTTATCTGCTTATGACATGCCTGAATGGAAGAAGGATGCATTTGGGAAAGCATTGACATTTGGGCAGAGATCCAAGCTATCTCTCCAGGAGCAAAGGCAGAGCTTGCCAATTTACAAATTGAAAAAAGAGTTAATTCAGGCTGTCCATGACAATCAAGTTCTGGTGGTTATTGGTGAAACAGGTTCAGGTAAGACTACTCAGGTAACACAGTATCTTGCCGAGGCAGGTTATACTACAAGGGGTAAGATTGGGTGTACTCAACCTCGTAGGGTGGCTGCTATGTCTGTAGCCAAGAGGGTGGCTGAAGAGTTTGGTTGTCGTTTAGGTGAGGAAGTTGGCTATGCTATTCGTTTTGAGGATTGCACTGGACCAGATACTGTGATCAAGTACATGACAGATGGTATGCTACTTAGGGAGATTTTGATTGATGAGAACCTTTCTCAATACTCGGTGATAATGCTTGATGAAGCTCATGAGAGGACAATTCACACTGATGTCCTTTTTGGGTTACTCAAGAAACTTGTGAAGAGGAGACCTGATCTTCGCTTGATAGTCACATCAGCCACACTGGATGCAGAGAAATTTTCAGGGTACTTCTTCAACTGTAACATATTCACGATTCCTGGGAGAACTTTTCCCGTAGAGATATTATACACCAAACAGCCAGAAAGTGACTATTTAGATGCATCCCTGATTACTGTCTTGCAAATCCACTTGACAGAACCTGAAGGTGACATACTTCTATTCTTGACAGGTCAGGAGGAGATTGATTTTGCATGTCAGTCTCTTTATGAGAGGATGAAAGGGTTAGGAAAAAATGTTCCAGAATTGATCATTTTACCTGTTTATAGTGCTCTTCCAAGTGAAATGCAGTCAAGAATTTTTGACCCTGCCCCACCTGGGAAGAGAAAGGTGGTTGTGGCAACTAATATTGCTGAAGCTTCTTTGACTATTGATGGAATATTTTATGTCATTGATCCTGGGTTTGCCAAGCAGAATGTGTATAATCCGAAGCAAGGGCTTGATTCTCTAGTTATAACACCAATTTCACAAGCATCTGCCAAGCAACGAGCTGGACGTGCTGGGCGTACTGGTCCTGGAAAATGTTATCGTCTCTACACAGAAAGTGCATACCGCAATGAGATGTCTCCTACCTCAATTCCAGAAATCCAAAGAATTAATCTTGGATTTACAACACTTACGATGAAGGCTATGGGAATTAATGATCTATTGTCTTTTGATTTTATGGATCCGCCTTCACCCCAGGCCCTGATTTCTGCCATGGAACAGCTATTCAGCCTTGGAGCTCTGGATGAGGAAGGACTTCTGACCAAACTGGGGAGGAAAATGGCAGAATTCCCCTTGGATCCACCATTGTCTAAAATGTTGCTTGCTAGTGTAGACCTTGGGTGTAGTGATGAGATTTTGACAATTATTGCCATGATCCAAACTGGCAACATCTTTTACAGACCTAGAGAAAAACAAGCACAGGCCGATCAGAAGAGGGCCAAGTTTTTCCAGCCTGAGGGAGACCATCTTACTTTGCTTGCTGTATATGAGGCTTGGAAAGCAAAGAACTTTTCAGGACCTTGGTGTTTTGAGAACTTTGTCCAATCTCGCTCCTTGAGGAGAGCACAGGATGTCAGAAAACAGCTTCTGAGCATAATGGATAAGTAAGATCTGCAACTTTTATTCTAATGCCTTTTTCATGATATTGTGTTGTCCTTGTACAATGTTTTCATTGATGGTTATCATTATTTTACTGAGACTTGTGCGTGATTAAGAACCATGATATTTGGCCAATATGCTTATGGTTGAGCACTGTAGAATGCTATCGGTGTACTTATCATTGTGAATTATAGGATGCTACTGATATGAATGTTCCTGAACACTTTAGGTTGAAAAGGCTGTTAATTGCATTTGCTGTTGTATTTTTCCCAGTATTATGTATGTTTTGCCTATATATTAAATTGTTTAAACTAGGGTTGAATGCTTTTTGATTTTGGTCATTAATTTAATTGTTGTGGCTACACTTGTTCATGTGGTCAACAGTGGGAACCTTATTAAGTGCCAGTTGCTTGAGCCAAAGCAGGGCTCATTTGGTTGCAAACTTTTGATGTTTTATACATATCGCATTTAATTACTCTCCAAACCTGTTGAGAAATGGTGAATATTGATCGTTCCTTGAATTGCGTGAGTGTGCTTTGAGTGGTAAAACTAATCCTGTCCAAGTATGCCATACCATTCGTCAGGGATATTCACAAATAAATGTTGCTAACTATCATTCTAGGTCATTATCCATCAAAATTTAAATTATTGTTGTTCATTGTTATTGGGAAATAGCTTCCTTTTAATCTCTTCATTTTAATTGCAAACTTTTTAGTTGATGGGTGCTCTTATGAATTTGCTGTTTCAAAATTTCATACCATGCACGTAGCTGCAACAGTTATTGTCTCTCTGGTTATTTTGCATGTTAAAGTTTCAAAACTGGCCTTGTTTATGATACAGTTATTCTTCCAGCTATTTAGCTAATGGATGCTTAAAATAAGGAAATGATAATTGTGGATCTATAAAAACTGCCCCACACAAAAGTCTAAACATTTTGTTTGCATAATTCTAATTCAAGATTGTTGTTGGATATCAGATATAAATTGGATGTTGTTAGTGCTGGGAAGAATTTTACCAAGATAAGAAAAGCGATTACAGCTGGATTCTTTTTCCATGCGGCTCGAAAGGATCCACAGGAGGGTTATAGGACATTAGTTGAGAACCAGCCAGTTTATATCCACCCCAGCAGTGCTCTTTTCCAGAGACAACCAGACTGGGTCATCTACCATGAGCTGGTAATGACTACAAAGGAGTATATGCGTGAGGTGACAGTTATAGATCCCAAATGGCTCGTGGAACTTGCTCCCAGGTTCTTTAAAGTAGCAGATCCTACGAAAATGAGCAAGCGAAAGCGTCAAGAACGCGTTGAACCTCTCTACGATAGATACCACGAACCTAATTCATGGCGTTTGAGTAAACGGCGAGCTTAATGTATTTTTAGTTATTTGAATCAACTTGTTTTCAATCTTGATTCATTTTTTATTGCTGCAAACATGTAGTTGTACATATTCTGTCTTGAATCTTGATAATGTTTTGAAGAGATATGGAAACATGTATATCCTCGGAAGGTAACAAGTGAGATCTTCTTGACATGGATATGTTCCATCATTTTTGCTACCAATGACAATTATTTGGATGAATTTAAGGTTGGTTGTGGAAATTGACTAGTTTGTCTGGTAAAATCACCTGGAAAGAATATTTTGTCTCAAAGAAAGCTCTGGCCCGAAACCATTTGAGGCTGAGGGAAAGGTACACTTTCAAGTGCTGAGTCAAGCAATTTGTGCCTGGAGTGCATTGTACAAAAAGATGCCAATGGAAGATATATCTGGTAAATTCCAAACATTTTCTTAACGTTCTCTTTAATTTTTGGTAACTTGGTAGTTAACTCATTAGGTTTTGGTTTTTGAGTCTGGATCCACCTGTATATCTGCTTAAAAGTTAAAGCTATACAGGCAATCTAAGTTCTGCAGTTGGAGACAGCATAAACATGCATTACGATTCTATTGAAAAATGAAACAAAGTGGGGTTCTCTCAATGAAGAAATTTACCTTGGAAATAAAGACAGCTGCTGCCATGGAAAATCAATTAACGAAGACCGAGATGGCTAAAATGTCCTTGACCCGAGGCCTACCAATGCTTTTACTTGGTTTCGGTTGCTCTTGGATTTTCTTACTTCATGATCAACTCCAGGTTTGTTTGAAAGTTAAAGGTGCAGACGACTTTCTTTATTGATGGGCAGTACTGCTGAGTGGCTTATGATGTTATTTTTCAAGTACCCAGTTTTTTTCATATATGTATATATATATATCCATTTTTATGTCTCGAGTTATGACGCAAGGATGGTTAGTTTAGGCTTGGGTACGGTTACCCCATCTCCTTGTTGGCGTACTACCTTTTTTCTTACTGTGGTTGGAATGTTGGAATCCTCATCTTTTAATTTAGTAAATTTCTGATCCTATTCAAAAAGAAAAAAGAAAAAACCAATGATTGCACTATTGCAGCGTGCAAGATCATTTTTACAGATAACTCCTCAAATACAATCATTATCAGAAAGCTGTGAAGATATTTTCTGAAAAATACAAAATACAACCGTTCATCAACTGGTATGGTATTAACTCCTAATTTCTTGTTTAATCACCAATCATAAACTAAAACAGCACGCCCTTCAAATATTTATACACTCAAATGATTGCCACGCCTTTCCTCTATAATCAGTAACTTGCAAGTTCGAATCTGTCTCACACCATTCCTGCAAGTCTGCTGCTACGTTCAGCAATTGCATGACCTAAAACAGAGTCCAATTGCGCATTTGTTGATGACTTTGATCCAGACTTGCAGCTCTGGTTTCTTAATTTCTATCCATGAAGGTATGCACTTTACAAGGCAGCACAATAGATCATGGTAAGTCCACATAAATGATTGAAAAAGCACAACATTTTCAGCAACTCAAGTTTTCAAAACCTTAGGAGTACTAATATCACTATATTAGCATGTTTAGAAACACAAAATATTCACATCTACAAGGCAAGGCTACTCTCTGTCAACACTTCCCCATAAAATATAGGTGCTGTCTGCATCATCAACATCAAAAAACCATTGCTGTTTACGTTCCCCTTGTCTGATATGGAATTTGAACCCTAGCAGCTCCTGCATTGCTATAAATGAAACAAACATTGTTTTTATTTATCTAGCCAAATGTTCGTGAATAAATAGCAGAAAGTTTGTGAATAATTTACATGCAACCTAAAGCCTAGCTTTCAAACAAATGTGATGCACTGCAAGGATGTCGTCAATACAGAAGATAGTAGACTCATCAGCCAGGATTTTCAAACATCTCATTGAATACATGTGATTGGAATAATCATTAAGTGTGCAGTCCAGAAGTATTATTGCAAACTTGTAAGGACTCTGTCTTGTCAGGAGGGGCGCATTATTCCTAGCCAAAATCTAATAATACTCGGTACATTTATGATAATAACAGTAATCATTGTTGGTATGACCATTGAATTTTTTGAAGTGAGTTCATCATTTCGTTGAGAGAGGCCCAGGCTGGCCATCAACAGACCAAAAAATTACATAAGGCCATAACAGGTGGGGGGCAAACACCACATTGACTATGGAGAAGCTATGATTATGTCCAAGACAGTTAACCAAATCTAAACTTGTAGTTTGTTCGTGCATTATCTGAAGCACAGACCTGGATCCAGCTAGGGCATATGAAAAAAATGCAAGTGGTAAGGTCAGAACTTCTTGTACTCACTACTGAGTTAGTCAATAATGGGAAGTCTATAAGTTTCTATACAGGATAAATTTAAAGATTTTAGTACCATTATTCTTCAAAAATGACAAGGAGAATTCCATCAATCACACTAGCTTAGGAAAAAAATTGATGAAAGAACCAGACACCTATTAATTACAGTTCGGTGCTTAGTATTAGTTACGGAAGACTTGCTGACTTTAAATCAAAAGGCTTCACTTATCCTCTAATATTTACAGCCGGGATGGGTACACACAAAATACAGTACTCCTAGCTTTCAAATCATGAACAATAAAACTTAAAGTCTAATCCAGACCATAAACCTACTACTGGTCATAGTTATAGAAGGTCGTGAAAAACAGTTGTCAACTATAAAGTCACAATTGGAATTTAATTTATGAGCAGCATTTGTGCATGACGGTCAAAAATTTTCATAGCAAACCATCCAAGAATTGCAGGTGATACAGCAATGTAGAAAATTCAATCCACACTGATGCAAACATTCAAGGTTTAACTAAGAGCAATTTAGACCAATATACCATCATGCCCAAACTTAAATGAAAAAATCAGATCACACAAGAAATCACAAAATTGATCATCGAGATGATTTAAAAACTATAACCTAAAGCTGTGTATTCCCATGCAACATTGTGATGATAGAGAAGATTTAAAGCATTATAAGTTACCCGAATTTTAGTTGGAGCCATTTGCAACATCTCCCATGCATTGCTCCTTTAACACTTATGAAACCTCCCCGCTTGTACCAGTATTATGTTTGGATGTCTTTTCAGAATTTTGAAGGCGCACTGTTTTTTCTTGATTAGCAAAAGTGTCGTCAGTTATTTCACAAGTCACTTCAGAAACTTTAATGATTTTGTCTATCATTAGTACATCTGCATCTTCAGCTGCATCCTGATCCTTACAAACAACTTCCTGGGTTGAAGTTACGCTGACAACAGAAAAATAAATAAGTTATATTATCTTAAACAAGAAGCATGAGTATCAACATACATGTTAAGTTAGCAAATATGCAAGAAGAAAGTAGTAAATTTGTCAGAAAAAGATTTATACATGTCATTAATAGTATCTTCAGGTAAATTTGCGCTGGCAATTTCCTTTTGCCTCCTTTTCTTATTGCTCCGACTTTTCCCCGGCTGAAAATCAACTGAATCATCCAACGAAGAGTTGTCAACTCGCCTTTTTCTTCCAGCCTGCAGTGCTAGATCAGAAATTGGGTGTGTGATCCTTTCATTTGCAAGTTCTGCGATATCATATTCAACACCACATGCTTCCTTTGTAATCTCTCCTTCAGGAGGCACTTCAAGTATCACCTTTGGCTCACCATAGGCATATCTAATAGGCTGACTTTTGTCAAAAATTTCTACTGACTTGTGTTTTTGCCCACAATATCCATTAGAAGAATCCAATTTTCCAGTTTTCAAAGTGGCATATTCATGGCCAGACATCCCAGACTCCTCACTCTTCGACAGAGGCCTCTCAGGGGAATTTTTGAAGATCAATTCAGTGCAACGCTTGATCCACGAAAAACGAGCAGAGTTTGGGGTGGAAGCAACATCTGTTTTTAGCGTAGGAGAGTTGAGTCCACCTAGAATGTTAGCAGTATCTTGTCCAATATCTTGTTGCTTCAGACGCCTTATTGCAGAAATTTTCTGCCGGCTAGAGTCCATATTGGATTGTTGCATCTCTTCCAGTTCCATATCATCCAAGGCAAGTTTCAAATCATCCAATTTTTTCAGCTGCTCGATCTGAACAGAAATCTCCTCTCTCTCTCCATGTAACAATTGCCTTTGTTTCTCTAGTTTCTGTGTCTGACCCCTAAGTTCCTCGATGGATTTATTCAGCATTGCCCATTCTCCATCCCTTCTCTCACGGTCCACATTTATCTCCATTCTCTCAGCATCAAGTTTCTTCATTTCTAAAGCAGCTTGTTCCAACTCTTTCTCTGCTTTTTCTCTAAGAGAGGCAATATGTTGAAGCTCAGTTTTCTTTTCTAGCTCAAAGGCTTTCTCTTTATCACTTAAATAGCTTTCTATCTCTTCACGCCTTTTTTCAATACTGCTCTCCAGTTCCCTCTTCTGCATCTCAATGCCCAACAAGAAGTCTGCATGTTCCTTCTGAATTCTGTTGAACCACTCAGAGCGCTCATGCTCCATTTTATTCATGAATTCTTCACGCTCACGATTAAGTGACTCCACATCTTGCTTCTGCTGATCTTGTATTGATTTCTTTTCTAGTCTAAGGCTATCACGCTCATCTTTGAGTAACCTAGAAACAGCTTCTCTTTCCTCAGCTACACGTTCAGCTTCCTTCCTTAGCTCTTCTCTTTTCTCATCAATCAACTCCCACTCAGTTTCAAATTTAGCCTTCTCAAGTTTCAGTCTGTTTTCTTCAGTCATGAGTTCTAGTTTCTGAGCCCTGAGAGTGTCAACTTCTTCTTTCAGATTCATCTCTAAAGCTGCTAACTCATTTGTTTCACTTGTCAAGGTCTGTAGTTTCTCCTTTGCATAATCAACTTGTTTTCTTTCGTCTTCCAGTGAGTCCAAAGACTTCTGAAGATCTAGCTTTGTTTTGTTAATCTCTTCTCTTTCTTGCAGCAGAAGAGCTCTTCTCAACTCAATATCGTTCTCTATGACACTCAAACTTCTTTCTTTATCATCAAGAAAATTGATCTTGTCTGTCACATCCTTCTCCTTATCTCCCAAGGCTCTTGATTGAATCTCCAAGTCATGTTCCTTTTCTAGCACCAAGTCCTCCCTCTGTTTAAGATCAACCTCCCTCAATTCCCAAGCCCGTCTCTTGGCCTCAATTTCATCTTCCACCAATTTGCGTTTCAGGTCCAGCTCTGCTTCAAATTCTGAATTCCTTGTTCTCAAAACATTCTCATGATTGGCAACAGCTTTTTGAATTTCAACCTGCATTTTGTACAAGAAATTCAAAATAATAATCCAAGAAGAGAGAAATGGTAAAAGTACTCAAAATAGCAATGAACCCAACATTTACGGCAAAAGAACTCACAGATTCCTTGCTAGCAATCTTTTCCTGTAAAACAAGTAGCTCTTGCTCTCTCTTGCTTAGTACAGCTTCTCTCTCAATAACAGCCTGCATGCCCTCAAAAGGAAAGCTAGATGAGTATAACAATCTGACACATAATATAATTCATACCAACAATAATATTTGAAAATATTGACCTCCTCTCTTTGAGACAAGGAAGCTATCGTTAGCTCCAGATTGGATTTTTCATCATTTAGGGCTCTACGTTCCTTCTCAATATTTGCTTTTGAGGCTTCCAGGTCCTTTTCAAGTTGATTTAGCTCTTGAGATTTACTGGCAACATAATCCTCCCTCTGGTTCAGCAAAGATTGTCCATCGAGTAATCTTTCCTGTTCCTGCTGCAAAACCTTCCGTCTTTCACTCAAAGATTGTCTCTCAAGACCTATCTCCTTTTCTTTTCCATCACAACTAAGAAGAGGGAAAAAAAAAATTAACAAGCTCATAAAACCAAATTTCTAGAGAACAAAACAGCTGTTGGCCAAATATTATGACAAATATGGCATTATGTGCACGGTTAAGTTGCTTAAAACTTCAAAAATGTCTGTAGATGTTTGTGTTTGTGCATTATCACCAAGCAAGGCCTTTTTTGCCTGTTAGTTTACGTTGAGCGAACTCACCACATACTGTTCCTTCACAGCCTGTTTGGAACCAATTCTGCAGTTAAATTCAATTCTACAACTAATTTGAATCGAACCAACATCAGAATAGAATTTCCACATTTGAATCAAGCAGAGTTCAATGGAAATCAATTATTAGCAATAAATTTTACCAACTTACTCTGGTCCATGTTTCAATCAAAACGATCCACCTCTCAAATATTTCACAATCTTATCCTTCTTTTATCTCCACCACAGCTTTCCGCCAAACCCAGTTTAGTACAAGTTTTATGTTCACTTGCTCAAACAACCTGTCAATCTTGCATCTCTAAGTTTTATCTATATCCCACATCTTGTTACGTGATGAAATTCAAGTTGTGAGCAAAACAAAATAAACGAATTACACAGCGTAGCTCTATAAGGAATAAAATAACAAGCATGGATAGCTAGTGCTTCTAAGGCCAAAGAAGAATAGCATGACCAGGTAAGAAAACAATCACAGATACACAGTGAGATGACCACACACAATGAGCCATGTATCACTGTTCCAGACATGGAAATCAAGACTCAAAAACATCAGCAGCTGCATTATTATTTTCAAAAGAATTTTAAGACCCAGTGAAGTGTTTGCATTCTAATGGAAAATGGAGAGGTCTTCAGGTCAGACAGTAAGATGTTGGGACAAAAAAAAATGAGAATTTGATTAGTAGAGTAAAATTGGAATTAATTCTACACAATTACATGGCTTCCAAAAAGGCTGTTAAATGAAACCACGAAACTAACTAACAGTACAAATCATCATATTGAAAATCTACAATTAAGCTAAATTCTATAGCATCAGTTCACCGGGCAAATAAAATGGAGATAATAACATGATGGATGGAATATTTACTCAGTTTTGAAAGCAGTCATACGCCTGCTAAGATCAGCTTCACGTGCCTCAACTTCCTGGAGCTTTCTTTCTGCAGCTCGGTGAAACCGGCTAGCTTCAGCTTGTAAAGCTTCAGCAGCATGCATTTTTGCCTCAGCATCTAAAAACTTTTTTTGTGCATCTTGAACCATATTGCGTGCTTCAGCCAACTGAGAGTCAGCTGCGACCTTGATTTCAGCAGATTCTGTACGCATCTCATGCAAGGCTTTTTCCATCTACAAAAGAATTACATAACAATGATAGGTACAAATTGGGAAAGGAAAAAAAAAAAAAAGAAATGACGACCCGAAACAAAAATCTTACACTTGATATACACTCCTTCTCAACTCCTAAAGCCTTCTTCAAACTTTCTTCTCGTTTCTTTGCCTCAGCTAAAGCAGATAAGTGTGCAGCTTGGTCATGCCTACGCATTAAATCAGCTGTTTCGGCAGATGCTTTCATTTGCTCATATTTTGAAGTCCACTCCTTTTTTTCCAATACGAGAAGCCCCATATAGTATTGAAGGTCAATCATCTACATGAACTTACACTAGTCAAAAAAATTCTGCCCCCTCATGCAATAAAATTAACCAAAGTAGTAACATTTAATCCACATTAAAGCATATAATTGTTATAACATGCTCAAACATAACAAAATTGATTCCTACTCCGAAAATTGACAAACTTTCTACTTCCACCTCGAAACAGAGAATAAATTACTACTTAATTAAAACCAAAAAATCTAAAAGGAAAAACATTCATCCTAGCCCAAGAAATCTAGAAATTAAAAACATTAAGAGTGACCCGACAAATTACCTGTCTCTAATCACTATTAATTTAACTCTTCCACAAACTACCATTACAAAAAATATAAAAACCCCATAAAGGGCTATCAATTTACTAATTAAGGTTTTCTCCAATTTCCTTCCTTGTTTCGAAAAAAGAAAAGAAAATTCAAATAAAAGCACCAATAAAAAACAAGATGAACAAGAAGAAAGCAAACCTCGGCTTCAAGTTTGGCTATATAAGCAATAAGAGCAGCCTTATCTCTTCTTTTAACGGATTCTTCATCAAATCCAGCGTCTTTAAGTCGTTTCCAGATCGTCTCTTCACTTAAAGGAGTCTTCAAGACTGTGGCACCAGGCGTTAACGACAAAGCCCTGCCACTGCCATTGCTTGGCGTGATCGGACTCGTCATCTCCTGAGTCGGATTAGCAAGTCAAGAAACCCTAGAATTCGGATCCTGAAAAAGGAAAAGGAAAAGGGGAGAGTGACTGAGTCACCGAGTTCGCGTGAGTTTCCTTTTCTTTTTCTTTTTCTTTCCTTTTCTTTCTTGCCGAGAGTTTTACTTACCAGTCCAGAGAATAGTGGAGACTGAGTTGGCGAGTCGTGGAATTTTCACTTTATATATATTAAAAAGTGGAGTAGAAAAGAAACGACGTCGTAAAAGTGTTGTGAAAGGGAAGTTTTGAAGCCGCCTTTTAAAAATTTGGATTAGCGGCTAGATAATTTGAAAGTTAATTTTGATTAATGAGAGAATCATAGGACAAATAACCTTGTCTTCTTGTTTTGGAAGATAGAGAGCGACAGTTCGGTTTTATTTTGTTTTTTTTATTATTTTTTTTGGTTCAGGATTTTTTTTTTTTTTTTTTCGGACAAATCAAAACTGATCTCTCTCTTGATGTGAATAAATGACACTCTTCAAGACGAGACATTAAGTATTTTAATAATAAATTTTCAAAATCATTGGCTATAAGAATCGAATACTGAACATAACCTATAAATCAACGTTTGCTTATATCTTAAAAGAATTATCTAAATTAGGTGTTTCACGAACGAAATTACCAAAAAACAACTATAATTTCATATTGAGCATAATATAAGAAATAGAGAACATTAATTTTATAGCCTGAATCAAAATCTAATTAAAATTCATAATTAATCAGTATATTTTTTGTATAAGTATTTCTATATATAAAAAAAGCTGATGAAATACTGTTCATTTTGATTAATTAAACAAATTAAAATTATTCTTCTCTTAGTCAAGGAAATGATTAAGTATATTTATTGCCAAAATATTCTTAATTATCTCGTGTAATCAATGTCAAATTCACAAAATAAGATTCTTGAATGGGCCTCCCAAACGACACGGCTCCCTGTCTGTGAATACCATATCAAGCTTATTCTAGTAGCATCTAAGGATTAATTGTGTAAGTTGTCTTTTTATTCTTGATATTTTCTAAATATTTTTTTTTTCATTTTTTAATTAATAAGTCAACTTATTTAACTCGAAATAAATAAATAATTCCTTTTGAAACTGTTTTCTGGTAATATTTAAAATAAAAAATAAAAAGATAAAAGTTTATATCATATTTTATGTTTACATTTATATTAAGTTTCTTTGCCCACATTGTTAATTGTTTGAATTTTAATTTATTTTCATTATTGCTAGAAAATAATTTCATTAACAAAATTGTAAATTCTAAAAACATATGAGTCAACTAAATCAACGGATCAACACATATTGCATAAATAGTATAAATATTATTCATTTTTTATGGTATTACAAACTAGGAGATCACAATAAGCAAATTACTAACATCCAAGAACTCAATCATTTTTTTTTTTTTGTATTAAAAGGATTTGATGAAAAAAAAAAGTTAGGAGTAGGTAGTTAAATATCTTCTGAGGTTTGGCCAACGTAAGTTTTTTTTTAAAAAAAGGACTTCGATATGTCAAAAAAAAAAAAAGAAGACAATTATAAATCATAGACATTTTTTATCCCAATGCTTAAAGCATTAAATTGTTAAATTATGGAGATTAATTTAGATGTAACTCATAATTTAAAAGGCTACACATATAGTAAACTTACTAAACCCGTTAGATCAAGTATAAAGATATGTTAGACCTTTTTTTTTTTATTGTAATCTTGGTTATTCATTTTATAAGTAGGAACAACATTTCTTATATTGATGCCGTCACTTAGTAAAATTCTAATAAAAAATTCTAATATAGTCGTGAAATAAATATAATTATCGAACCATATAAATCTTACATAATGTGATAATTATTTTTATTTTTATTTTATTTTCTTTCTTATTCGTTACTAACAACTTTTAGGAGAGCACACCACCCAATATTAAAGTAAACCTTTTTCTAACAAATTTGAGATGTTCTTATACCTTTCTTTTTCGTTACCCATTTGCAAGTTTATTTATCCAAAAGGCAATACTCCTATGATTAAAAGCCAACTGAAAATCAATTAACAAAGACTGAGATGATTGGAATGTTTTTTGTCCCACACGTTGAGTGTGTAAGAGAATGGCTGACGACAAATATATTCAAGTACAAGAAAAGTAACGAAAATAATAAAATAAGGCCCATGAAGACCTTTTTCACTCAAATGAGTCAGTTTCCACCTCTTTTCATGGGATTCTATTAAAAGGAGCCTGTGCTTTTGACTCATCTTGATTTTGATCTTGTTCTTGGTGATAATGCACAGAAGTTCCAATTTTCAGCTTCTTGATGTGCTTACTGTGCTTTTACTGCACATCAAACCTACTCTTGGGTTCATTTCAGGAGGAAAAAGGAAAAAATTCAGGTGTATAGACAAGGAGAGACAAGCACTTGTCAAGTTTAAACAAGAACTTGAGGATGATTTTGGTGCTCTTTCTTCCTGGGGGAGCGAAGAAGACAAGAGTGATTGTTGCAAATGGAGAGGAGTTGGCTGCAACAACAGAACTGGTCATATTACTTTGCTTGATCTTCAAGTCACATCTACCCCTTTAAAGGATGATTACAAGCCTCTAAGAGGTAAGATCAGTAGTTCATTACTTGAATTGCAGCATTTGAATTATTTGGACTTGAGTAATAATCATTTTGGAGGAAGTCCCTTTCCATATTTCATCGGGTCCTTAAGCAGGTTAAGATACCTGAGACTCTCCTCCAATAACTTAATTGGAACTCTCTCAAATCAGCTTCAAAACCTCTCAGGATTGCAGTATCTTGATCTCAGTCATAACTCTGGTGTTATTTTTGGAAGTCTTGACTGCCTTTATAGTCTTTCTTCTCTGAAGCATCTCGGCCTGAATGATATTGACCTTAGCCAGGCCAGAGACTGGCTTCAAGTTGTTAACAAGCTCCCCAACCTAAAAGACTTGCACTTAAGTGCTTGTCAACTCTTAAATGTCATTCCTTCGTCTATTTCTTATATAAATTCTTCTCAATCTCTTGTTGTTCTTGATCTCTCTTTCAACAATCTTGCTTCTTCAACATTCCCCTGGTTGTCCAAATTTGGTAACAGCCTTGTTGATACTGACCTGTCTTATAACGAGCTACAAGGTTCAATGCCAGATGCTTTCAGAAACATGACCTCTCTTGGAAACCTGTATCTTTTCTCTAATCAGCGTGAAGGTGGCATTCCAAGATCATTAGGGGAGAAGTGCAGCTTGCGCACACTTGATTTGGGTGGGAACAAGTTCATCATCCATCTTTCTAATAAGTTCATTAAGAACTTGTATGGATGCACAGAGAACTCGTTAGAGATTTTGAGTTTAAGGGAGAATCAACTTTATGGTTCATTGCCTGACATTACAAGATTCATTTCGATGAGAGAATTGGACCTCTCTAATAATCAGTTGAATGGCACTTTACTAAAAAGATTCCGACACCCTTCTAAACTTGTTTCCTTGAGTTTGGAAAGTAACTGATTGAAGGGGTCATTAACTGATGTTACAATGCTCGCATCATTGAGGGAGTTGAATATTAATGACAATCAACTCGATGGCAATGTTTCTGAAAGTATTGGAAGCCTATCCGAGCTTGAGAGATGTTATGCTAGAGGGAATTCCTTGCAAGGTGTTATCACTGAAGCTCATTTTTCAAATCTTTCAAAATTACAAAGTTCAGATTTATCTGACAACTCTCTGGCTTTGGAATTTCCATCTAGTTGGGTTCCTCCCTTTCAATTAAAAAGCTTGCATCTCAGGTCCTGCAAAATGGGGTCTCATTTCCCTAAATGGCTATGCACTCAAACTACTGTTTTGGAGTTTGATATCTCTGGTGCTAAAATTTCAGATACCATTCCTGAATGGTTTTGGGGTCTAGCTCCCATTTATTTCTTAGATCTTTGTCACAACCAGTTGCATGGAGTGCTGTCAGATTTTTCGTCAAAACTTCCTACCTTATCTTCAATAAATTTGAGTTTCAACAAGTTTGAGGGTCCAATGCCACTTTTTCCTTCTGACACTATATTCTTAAATATCTCAAACAATATGTTGTCGGGGCTGATTTCTGTTATATGAAGATTGCTGGTGGCTCTTTAGGCTTCTTCGACCTTTCAAATAGCCTATTTTCTGGACAACTTCCTAATTGTTTCATGCATTTGGAAAGTCTGATAGTTCTGAGTTTGGCTAACAACAATATTTCAGGTGAAATTCCCACCTCCATGGGATCATTATCTTCGCTTCAAACATTGAGTTTACACAACAATAGTTTCTCCGGAGGATTACCTTTGTCGTTGAAAAATTACAATGAGTTGTATGTTTTAGACCTTAGTGGAAACTGGTTCCACGGAGAAATACCAGCTTGGATTGGAGGAAGCATGTCATCTCTGAAATTCCTTTCCCTCCAGTCTAATGAATTCTATGGAAGCATACCTCCACATTTATGTCAGCTAACAAAAATTCAGATCCTAGACCTATCTTTAAACAATATCTTTGGAATCATTCCGAACTGCCTCAACAACTTCAATGACATGGTCCAGAAAAGGGAACCCAAAAGCATCATTACTACTGGTGGTTATTATTGTGGAAACATCTATGTTAATAAGGCATGGGTTGAATGGAAAGGAAGGCTATACGAGTATGAAAGGAATCTTGGACTTTTTAGGATTATTGATTTTGCATGCAACAAACTAACTGGCGCAATCCCGGAAGAAATGGTGCATCTTTCAGAGTTGGTTGCACTGAACTTGTCAGGAAACAATTTGATTAGAGTAATCCCTCAAAAGATTGGGAACTTGAGACAGTTAGAATCACTTGATTTGTCATGAAATCAGTTATCAGGTTTAATCCCATCCACCATGGCTGTTCTAAATTTTTTGAATTACTTGAACCTCTCATACAATAACTTTTCTGGGAAAATTCCATCAACCACTCAGCTTCAGAGCTTCAATTCTTCCGCATTTACTGGTAATCT